AAGCCACTACGCTGACCAGCCTGTGCTATGGACCTATTGGGGTGGGTGGCGCGGAGTCTGGGGCCTCTAGCCTGCAGCTATGGGAAGTCTCCCTCTCCCCAGAGTTAGGAACACCAGGCCAGGTCCACCCAGCGGCCCGGTCCTGACTGCGGGGGTGAGTTTCTGCAGGCTGGGGTTTGATCCCTAGGCATGAGCAGAAGGAGACCAGTGCCTTTGTTATTGCTGTGTGTCCAGGTTTAAATTGGATAAATGCCTGGTGGTCCCAGGCGCCAGCTTAGCAAAATCTTTTAGGAGGAGAATTCTGTCTGGGATTCCTTAAATTCCCTCAGCCACTACTCACCCCTCTGTAAAGGCCCAAAACAAGTGAGGCCCCTTAAATAAAAATCAGAGGTCCAGCAACTGTGGGCCTCTCTCATCACAGTCATTTGGACTGGGTGGCATTTGAGTATTTATCTAGGCACCATGACAGGGAACACACAAGCTCAAGTCATGATCTCTGCCCTTAAATAATTCACAATCTTATTAGAGTGAATGGCTGATAAAAGCGCGGTAATGACATCAGAATGTAAGTCAACAATACAGAGAGGAACAGAGGCAATTACTAGGATGATTTTTCCAACAATTAGTACGATTTTCCAACAATTAGTACAAAGAGTATGTGCTGTGAATTAAATACAAAAAATATGTGTGGAAGTAGCTGCTTCATGAGTATGGGATCCCTTCCTATTTTAAAGGAAATTGAGTTCCATGTGAACTGTGTAATGTGCAATGATATCTGAGGCACAGGACAAGGGGGGCTCTAAGTGTACTATGCTTTGATAATTGAGTCATTCTTTATTGTTCAATGTGATTTATTTCTGCACGCCTCGGTTTTGTAATAGTTAAATTACTAGTATAATACATCTTGCTATAAAATATTGCTAGAAGATCAAATGATCAGGTGACATTTATTGTTATTTTCTATACATGAACACAATCTCTGGTATGCTAAAGTGATAGGTATTATAGAAATATTCAGATAGGGAGACCTAAAGGCTTGATTATAAGTGAGGCTTACTATCACAACCCAAATTTATTGCTAAAAAAAAAAAAAAAGCAGGGAGCCAACTAGAAACTGAACCAAATATAAGCCCTTGAAGGGCAAATGCAAATTGGATAAGCTTTGCTATTTCAGGAGCAAGAAGAAAAAATTCAGAGGCAAGAATGAGAAGCACGTTGCATCTCTCTAAGTTGCTGTTAAAGAAAAAGAATGATATACTATGAAAATACTTAATACAGATTGTAAAGAGATTTGTTCAAAGAGTATTTCCTAGAGTAGGTGGTATTTCAGTTAATTTTTTTAAATGTGAAGAGGTTAGCTGGATAAGAAAGAGGTGTAGGGGTCCCGAACTGCAGAGGGTGCAGGCAGGGCTGATGGACCCCCCCGACTCTTGTGCACAAATTTTGTGCACTGAGCCTCTTGTCAATTATAACTTACTTCAGCTGAAAAATTACAAAAACCAAAGGAAAAAATGAGAAAGAAATTTTTAAAAGGATGAGAAAAAGTTCAACTTTTTGTTAAAGATGAGAGCTGAGATGATGTTTGCATTCATGATTTCATACCTGCAAAGCATTAAGAACAGTCTAACTTTGAAAGGATTCAATACATATAGTTATACTTACTACTTTAAAAGTCCTAAGTCGCTTTTGATCTAGGACTCAGACTATCTGAGCAAAACTTCAATTCAGAAATGAACAACACAACAGAATGGTTTCCATTTTGTTGACTTGTGTCAGAGTCATCCTACTTGGTTGCAGGGATAAACTCATAAGGAAGTATATAAGGGATGGTGATGGCTAATACTATGGCATGATTTAACTTTAGTCCTGTTTCTCCAACCTTCTCAACAATTCTGTAAGTTACCTGTGTACTTTAATGTTATACAGTGTACTTTAATGTATCAATTTCCTGCTTAATATAGAGCACATTCTGTTGATTGCAACCAAATACCTTGACCAACATAACTGCTAAGGAAAAAAGTTGCAAAACTTAAACATTATTTTAAAAGAAAAACTAGAACTTGTTTTTTCTCTATTTTTTTTGGGGGGGGGGGAGCGGGGGAGAGAAGGATTCTTAACCTATTTACCTAAACATTTAATTAACAGGCTAGAAGACATTTATATATACCCTGCACCCCCCTCCCCCTTTAAAAAATATATTTGTATTGATTTTAGAGAACGGAGAAGGAGAGAAAGATAGAAAGATCAATGATGAGAGAGAATCATTGGTTAGCTGCCTCCTGCATGCCCCATGCTGGGAATTGAGCCTGCAACCCAGGCATGTGTCCTGACTGGGAATTGAACCATGACTTTCTGGTTCATAAGTTGACCATCAACCACTGAACCACGCTGGCCGGGCCAGGTGGATGATCTTTATAAAACTGGATTGCCATCATATAGGGTGTAGTGTATCCTTGGAATCAGTGAACACTATTTCTCATGAATCCATCTACTGATCCACTTGAAAATAAGTTTTTTCATCTTCTCAATACCCTAGGTACTTCTTAATTAGAGATTTCAACCCCAAAGGGGAAAAAATGTTTCTACCTAGTGAAAAATAGTGGTTTTGTTAAATTAACATTGCAACCTGACAAATTTAAGACCCTAATT